ATTTATACTTAGGTATTTTATTTTTTGATGCAACTGTAAATAGCATTGTTTTCCTAATTTCTTTCTGATAGTTCGATATTAGCTCATAGAAATGTAACAGATCTCTATTTATTGATTTTGTATCCTACAACTTTAATGAATTTTTAAATTCTAACAGTTTTTTTCGTGGAGTCTTTAGGGTTTTCTACACATAGTAGCATGTCATCTATACATGTAATAGTTTTACTTCTTTTCCATTGTGGATGCCTTTTATTTCTTTTTCTTGCCTAATTGCTTGGTTAGCACTTCCAATACTATGTTGAATAAAAGTGACAAAAATGAGCATCCTTGTCTAGTTCCTGATTTTAGAGGAAAAACTTTCAGCTCTTCACTGTTGGGTATGATGCTAGCTGTGGGTTTGTCATATATGATCTTTATTATACTGAGGTAAGTTCCCTTGATACTCAACTTGTTGAGAGTTGTTATCATAAACGGATGTTGAATTTTGTCAAAGCTTTTTCTGCATCTTTGGAGATGATCCAGTGATTTCTATCCTTCATTGTGCTAGTGTATCATGTTGATTGGTTTGCAGATGTAGAATCCTTGCATCCTTAGATAAATCCCACTTAATTAAGGCATATTATCCTTTTAATGTATTGTTGAATTCAGTTTGCTAATATTTTGTTGAGAGTTTTTGCATCTATGTTCATCAGAGATATTGGCCTGCAATTTGCTTTTCTTGTGGTGTCCTTGTCCAGTTTTGGTATCAGGGGAATGCTGTCCTGGCAAAAGAAATTTGGAATTGCTCCCTTTTCTATTTCTCTATATGAGAAGAATTGTTATTAATTCTTTTTTGAATGGTAGAATTTACTAGTGAAGTGTCTGATTCTGGACTTTTGCTTGTAGGGTGTTTTTTAATTATTTATTCAATCTCTCTACTATTGTGTGTTCAGATTTTCTATCTCTTAATGATTCAGCTTTGCATGGTCATAAGTTTCTGGGAATGTATCCATTTCTTCTAGTTTGTCCACTTTAAAAGTATATAATTGTTCTAGTAGTCTCACAATCCTTTGTGTTTTGGTGGTATCAGTTGTAAGGTCTCCTTTTATATTTCTGATTTTATTTATTTGAGTCCTCTTTTTTTCTTGCTGGAGGTTAGTCTATTTTGTTTCTTTTCAGAGAACCAGCTCTTGATTTTATTGAGCTTTTCTGTTTTGTTTTGTTTTGTTTTAGTCTCTAATTTGCTTATTTCTGCTCTGGTCTTTGTTCTTTTCTTCCTTCTATTAACTTTTGGGCTTTGTTTTTTCTTCCTTATCTATTTCCTTGAAGTATAAAGTTAGGTTTTTTATTTGAGATTTTTCTTATTTCTTGAAGTAGGCATTTATTACTATGAATGTCTTAGAACTGCTTTTGCTGCATCCCGTAAGTTTTGATATATTATATGTCCATTTTGGTTGGTCTCAAGGTATTTTTTATTTCACTTTTGAGTTCTTCAGTGATCCAATGGTTGTTAAAGTAGCATGTTTTTTAGTCTACACATATTTATGAATTTTTGAGTTTTCTTCTTTTAATTGATTTCTAGTTTCATAGCATTGTGGTTGAAAAAGGTGCTTGATATGATTTCAATCTCCTTAACTTTGTTAAGATTTGTTTCATGGCCTACATATGATTTCTCCTGGAGAATGTTCCCTGTTCACTCAAGAAGAATATGTATTCTGTTGGTTATGGGTGGAATGTTTTATAAATATATTTTAAGTCCTTGTGGTGTAATGTGTCATTTAAAGCCTTTGTTTCCTTATTTTCTGGCTGGAAGATTTATACTTTAATTTAAGTCAGGTATTAAGTCCCCTGTTATTATTGTATTGGTGCATCTCTCCCTTTAGGTCTTCTAATATCTACTTTACATATTTAGGTGCTCCTATGTTGGATACATAAGTATGTGTAAGTGTTATAACTTCTTGTTGGATTGACCCATTTATAAATATGCAATGCCCTTCTTTGTCTCTTATTGTGATCTTTGTTTTACAGTCTGTTTTGTCTGATATAAGCATAACTACCCCAGCTTTCTTTTGGTTTCCATTTTCAGGAATATCTTTTTCTATCCCTTCCCTTTCAGTATGTCATCACACCTGAAGTGATTCTCTTTTGGGCAGAATATAGATGGGTCTTGTGCTCTATGTTTTTTTTATTAGATAATTGAGTCCATGTATATTCAAGTAATTATTGATTGGTGTGTACTTATTGCCATCTTGTTAATTGTTTTCTGGCTGTTTTGTAATTATCCATTCCTTTCTTCCTCTCTTGCTCTTTCTTTTTGGTTGGATGACATTTTTTAGTGTGTTTAGATTCCTTTCTCATCATCTTTTTTTGTATTTACTGTAGATTTTTGCTTGGTGGTTACCATAAGGCTTACATATAACAACTTATATTTATAACAGTCTATTGTAAATTGATAACAACTTAAGTTTGAATCCATTCTAAAGCTCTAAATTTTTACTCCTGTCCCCATATTTTGTTTCTGATATCACATTTTACATTTTTATCTCCTGTAGCCCTTAACTAATTGTTGTACTTAGTTATTTTTACTGCTATTGTCCTTTAACCTTCACAATAGCTTTATAAATGATCAATCCACTACCTTTACTACATATTTACCTCTTAACCAATGAGATTTTTACTTCTGGATGTTTTCTTGTTACTACTTAGCACCCTTTCTTTCAGCTTAAAGATGTCCCTTTAATATTTCTTGCAAGACTGGCTTAATGGTGATGTACCCTTTTAGCTTTTGCTTGTCTGGAAAATTCTTTCATCTCTTCAATTCTGAAGTATAACTTTGATGGGGTAGGTATTCTTAGCTAGAATTTTTTTTCTTTCAGCACATTGAATATACTATGGCACTCCTTTCTGTCCTGTAAAGTTTGTGCTGAAAAATCTGCTGATAGTCTTATAAGGATTCCCTTGTATATAACAAATTGTTTATCTCTTGCTGCTTTGAAGATTCTCTCCAAATTTTTAACTTTTGCCATCTTAATTATAATGTGTCTTGGTGTGGGTCTCCTTATTTGGAACTCTTCTAGACTTCTCATCTGAATGTCCATTTCCCCAGGTTAGGGAAATTTTCAGCCATTGTTTCTTCAAATAAGTTTTCTGACCCTTTTCTCTCTCTTCTCCTTCTAGGACTCCTATAATTTGAATGTTAGTTTGCTTGATGTTGTCCTGAGTCCCTTAAGCTATGTTGACATTTTTTTTCATTCTTTTTTCTTTTTGCTGTTCTGAGTGTGGTCTGCTGCCCTGTCTTCGGGTTCATTGATCCTTTCTTCTCCTTCATCTGGTCTGGTTTGGTGTTGAGCCCCTCTAATGTATTTTTCAGTGCAGTTACTGTATTCTTCAGTTATGTGACTTCTGTTTTGAATGTTCTTATATTTCCTATCTCTGTTGAAGTTTTCACTATGTTCTTCTATTCTCCTGAGTTTGGTGAGCATCTTTATGACCATTAGTTTGAACTCTTTATCAGGTAACTTATCTCCATTTCATTTTGTGTTTTTCCCTGAGGTTTTCTCTTGTTTTTTTCATCTGTAACATATTCCTCTGTTTCTTCATTTGCTTGACTGTGTGTTGGTTTCTATGCATTAGATGGAACAGCTACAACTCCCAGTCTTGAAGGATTGGCCTTTTGTAGGAGATGAACCTCATTGTTCAGCCCTGCCTTTCCTCTTGGTTCTCTCAAACCTGTCAAGCAGCTTATTTTATTTTTAATAATTCTAGTAGTTGAAGGTGTGCCAAGACCTGTCAGTGTCTCAGACAGGAGGATCTCAGTTAGCACCTAGGCTCAGTTAGCATCATCCAGGCTGATTGGAAGCCAGACTACCAGGTGACAGCTTTTAAGGTATGAAAATATATATAGTCCTGTGGGATTACAAGTGAAAACCCCACTGGTTCCAAGAACCAGGTGATCTAAAGGTATTCCTTGGGCAGCAGTCACAAAAATCAGGGCTCCAGATGAGTGTATAAGCCCCTTTCTGGGAGATATCAGTGAGCTCTAGTGAGGCAGGGGGACAATGCAAAGATGGCTTCCCTGAATTATCTAGATGTGTGCCCAAACTGGAGCCTACCCCAAAGGCTGAAGCTTCAAGACTTCACAGAAAGGCTAGGGGTGTGTTTCAGCCCACTGTCTGTACAGTGTCCTGGGATGGTAACCTGCCAAGAACTGTCTCTCTGACTGTGACAGTCCCATGGGACCCAGGAATGCAAGCCACCTTGGTCCCAGAGCCAGGCAGTCAAGAGGAGTCTCCTGGATGGCAGCTTGAGTATTATTTCTTTGTACTGAGAATTGAAAAATAAAATTCCCTCCTTAAAAGAGCTAGGATGAATATGGAACTCAACTCCTGTGCTTTCCTTCTGTCAAGGATCACAGACCCTCAAGTCCTGCCTGTATTATTCACTCTTCAGTGCTTTAAAACTGTTATTTTATATATTTTGTCCAACTTTTTTAGTTGTTTTCAGCAGGAGGTGTAAGTAAAACACAAGCAACTCCATTAAGACCAAAATTGGAAATTCCTGTATTCTCACTAGGTCTGCCTGCTTATACTAGTAATCAAGGGAGAGTTAAAAGTGTAAAAGCAGAGAGGATAATATCATATATTATTTATACCCTACTTATTTTCCAGATGAGTTTGTGAGAGGCCACCTATTTTTTCAGAAATAACTCCTAGGCTTTAGGATAGTTATAAAGCCCAGCTTCCATGGAAATGACCAGAGCTAGTTTCTAATCCTGGCATTGCCCAAACTAGTTGCATGACTTTAGACAAATTGTTTATCTTCTTTGAGTCTATTTTTCTTTGTATTTGAACTAGTAGCTGACTTGCTTACAGGAATTTTCTGAGAATGAACAGTAAAAGTATAGGAAAATATTTTTAAAGACTGTAAAATGCTGCAGAAACAGAGGTATCTCTTACCTCTACCCAAATCCAGAAATAGCACAAAAGTGGGAGTGAGGATCCCAGGATTTGGATTTGGCTTACCCATTAACTTGCTGTTGACTCTGGGTAAATCACTTCATTCTTCCTGACTTCAGAGAGTTTATAGAACTGTAAGCGGTAAGATAAAAAGAAAACATTTAAGCAACAAAGCCCAAGTCTGTCTGTGGGCCAAAAGTTAATTGATGGGAGGTACCTGCCAGATTAATTCTCTTCCTCTTGGCAGTTGGATTGTGTCAATAATACCTACATTTAAAGGAAACTTGGATACCTTAGAAAAGTGAGATGAATGCTGTAGTCTGCACTTAGAAGATGAACATGGAATTTTACATCTCTCCGGGAAAAGAGAGGGAAGAGTGTGAGAGAAGAAATGTGATTACTGGCATTGTTTCACCTGGACTGAAAGCTAGGGTCTGTTCCTGTTATGGTGCCTGGGCTTGGCCCTAGAACTGGCAATTATCTAAGGTAAAAATGAAAAGCAGAGATAAAGTGGGAGCTAAAATGAGCAAGACAGATTCCATAATCATTGAAATGATAGGCATCAGCTTGAAAAAATCTGTAATTTTCCTGAGTTACTTTAATTAGTAATTCAGTAGTAGCTTACAGTTTTAAGGTCATCCACTGTTTTCCAAATTCTTTTTCTATTACTTAATTCTCATGATTATTTCCTGAGATAACATTAGGCAATTAGGCAGGATAACAGAAGGGGCTGAGAGGCAAAATGAGTTACTCTAGGTCACAGAATATAACACACACTTACTCAGGGCATTTATGGATGTGAGCATGTGTGAGTGTATGGGTGCATGTGCACACATGGATCTAGGGAAAAAGAAACAAGTGTCCCTATTTTGGTGATTGGTATCATCTATATATCCAATAATCTAAGTGAGAATCCTGTTTTGTTTTGTTTTTTACCTATTTTACAAGTATTTATTGATTGCTTAATATTGTGGCAGGTCTTTAGCCTGGGGATATAAGGTGGTGAACAAGATAGAAAGCCTGTGCTCAAGGAGATCATAGTCTAGTGGGAGACAAGTAAACATTTAGAACACTGTATGTTCTGTGGAGTTGTGCAACAGCATGTTGCAGTGGGCTCGAGGAGATCATAGTCTAGTGGGATACAAGTAAACATTTAGAGCACTGTGTGTTCTGTGGAGTTGTGTAACAGCATGTTGCAGTAGGAGCACAGGAGAAGGGATCCTAAGTCTTGTCTGGAGGGAAACAGTAAGCTTCTTTGGAGAGGGTGGCTTGCAACAGAGACTTGAAGGAGGCATAGGAATTTGCTAGGTAGATAAATGGGAGCAGGGTCTTAATGGCAGAAAGAACAGTATCCACAAATTCACATGGGCATAAGGGAATAATGTGTGTTTAGGTAACAGTATGCAGCTAAGTATTACTAGAGGATAAAAGTAAGCAGAAATGAGATTATTTTGAACAATTTTGAAAAAGTATCTTTCTTCTTTTATACATTCTCTCTGTGCACAATCCAATACAATAATCAAGTCCTATATTTGATTTGATTCCTTCTACCTATTTATTCTCTTCTATTGCTTTGGTGAGAGCCTCACCATGTCTGACCTGGACTATTGCTTTTCTTGCCTTACTGATCTCCTTGTTCTCAATGTGCATGCTTCCAATTCATCCTCCTCTTTCCTCCCCATCTGGTTCAGAATAAGCCCAAACTTTTAAGCCTGGTTTACAGAGCCCACCTCCATCCTGGACTGTATCTGCAGACTTATTTTTTGATAGACCATCCCTGTTCTCACATTTCCCCTCTCCACTTATTAATTAACACCTTACTTACTTTACTTCATCTTTCCTTAATTAATTCCTCAAAAACCTCTCTCCATTCTTTAGCTGATTTTTGCAGCCTTCTTAGCATGTCAGTCCTCCCATCTGTGCCTCTGTTTGTTTCTCCCTTTGCTGGTATTTCTTTCCTCTTCTCCACCATTTATCCCCTATCTGTCAAGACATTCCAGACTTGGGGAAAATGTTATCAACTCTGTGAAGCCTTTCTGGTTAATCTTTGTTTTCTCAGCAATATATTGGGGTCTGGAGTCTTCCCAGCCCTCTGCCTCCCATACTGTTTTCTTACTCAGCACAGCCCAGTGAGGTCCCCACAGGCTGGCAAGTGTAATTGCCCTCTGATTCTTCCTTACTGATTTGTAAGTTCCTTTATGACAATGTCTCATTCTCTTTTGTGTTTGTTGTCAGTACCCAAAACAGTGAGTGATAGTGAATACTCAATAAATACTTGTTGAATGGATTAATAAAGACTTCCTAGCAGTCGTTTGGCATGGAATCATGTACAGTCTTGCTTTGTTTTCTAGGAATTATCTTCCCAGTACAAAGTGATGGTAAGTTTTCTGCGTGCAGAGACCTTTCTTTTACTTTTCTTTTACATGCTTCCCAGTGCCTATAGCTCAGTGTTGGACAGTGCTTCTGCTGATGTGTCTGTTAGGAGTTCCTGACCCTGCAAAATAGTCTTAGAAATATATAACCATTAACTTGAGTTGCACTCCTATAGAAAGAAGGACCTAAGACAAAGTGACCAATCACAGGAAAGTCACCTCCCCTGGCCCCAGCCTGTCCCTCCAGGGTCATGGTCTCTTGGAGCTGAGTTTTTCTTTCCATCCTTAACTGAGGAGGCGGAATCTTACAAGCTGTAAGCAAGGGTGTTTGGGGAGGGCAGGAACCTGATTTGCCAAATTTCTTAACTGGTCATATTTAGAACAAAAGTCAGGTAATTATGTGCCTGTAAATGGAGGCCCTAATTAATCAGCAAAAGCCTATTTATGTATATTTAATGAAATTATATTTTAAATGCTTGAAGGGATTACATTTAAAAGAATTAATTCCATGGGGAAAGAAAAAGTAAAAAAAAATCTCAGAATGAACTTATAAATTTGAATGTCTCAAATGTTTGATTAGTTTCTTGATTCTCTCATTTTATTTTAAACCTGTGTTTATTTGGGATAATTAACATTCATACTGATTATTCTACTCCTGCTTTATTCTCCCTATTATTTTCATTGAATGTCTTTTTCCATCCCTTCACTTTTAGTTTGTGTTTATCTTTGGGCCTGAAATGAGTCTCTTATAGGTAGCATACAGATGGGTCTTGTTTCCTTATCCATTCTGCCACTCTATGTCTTTTGATTGGTACATTCAGGCCATTTACATTTAAGGTGATTATTGATAGATATGTACTTACTGCCATTCTTTTAATTGCTTTCTGCTGTTTTTTATATCTTCTCTCTGTTGTTTCTTCCTCTCTTATATTCTTCTCTTATTCTTGATGGTTTTCTTTAGCATTGTAATTGGATTTCTCTCTCCTTTTAAAATGTACTAATTTTTGTGTGTGTATTTATTGTAGGCTTTATTTTTGTGGTTACCAAATGTTCAAGGACAGCTTCTTTACTATCTAACAGTCTATCTTAAATTGACTACTCCATTTCAAACACAACCTAAAGGTACTTTTTTTCTCTTTCTTCCTCTCACATTTTTTGTATTAGATGTCATAATCTGCACTTTTTGTGTATCTCTTGACTGATTTTGTGTGTAGTTGATTTTGCTTCTTTTGTTTTAATTTTGTACTTGCTTGGTAATTAGTTGGTCTAATACATTTACTGTGGGTTTATTTCCACCGGTGACACCTATTTAGCCTTAGGATCATTTCCATCTACAACAATCCCTTTAGCGTATTCTATAAGACTGGCCTAGTGGTAGTAAACTCCTTCAACTTTTGTTTATCTGGAAATTGTTAAATCTTTGCTTCAAATTTAAATGATAATCTCACTGGGTAGAGGATTCTTGGTTGGTGTTGTCCTGTTCAGTACACTAAATATATCACACCACTCCCTTCTAGCCTGTAAGGTTTCTGTTGAGCAGTCTGCTGATAGCTTGATGGGATTTCCTTTATAAGGATTCTTTTTTTGTCTCTCTGGCTGCTTTCAACACTCTCTCCTTATCCTTGATCTCTGCCATTTTAATTATTACACGTCTTGGTGTTATCTTGCTGGGTTTCCTTTTGTTAGGGGATCTCTGTGCTTCCATGGCCTGAGTGTCTATTTCCTTCTCCGGACTGGAGAAGTTTTCAACAATTATTTCCTTAAAGAGACTTTCTATCCCTTTGTCTTCTCCTTCTGGTACCCCTATTATGCGAATATTGTTTCATTTTGGGTTGGTCACATAGCTCTCTTATCATTCTTTCATTCCTAGAGATCCCTTTTTCCTTTTTTTCTCTCTGTTCCTCAGCTTCTTTGTTTTCCTGTTCTTTAATTTCTATTTCATTTACTTTCTCCTCTACATGATGTTATGTACTTTTAAATCCCTCCATTGTGCATTTCATTTCAGATACTGTATTCTTCAGCTCTGAGTGGCTCTTTTTCAGGTTTTCTGTCTCTCTGTTGAAGTCCTCCCTGAGATCTTGAATACTTTCTATAAATCTGTGAACATGTTTATGACTTTTATTTTGAAATCTTTAATAAGAAGATTTGTGATCTCTGTTTCATTTAGCCCTCTTTCTGGGGTTCTGTCTTGTAGTTTTGATTGGATCAAATTCCTCTGCCTGTTCATTTTGTCAAGGATTCTGTGTTTCTTCCTTTATATTAGATGCCTCTACTATGCTTTCTGGTCCTTTTCTGTGTGTCCTTTCTTCCTCCTCAGGTGTAGGGGGTCTGCTCTGCAGTCTTCAGGTCATTTTCAGGTCTAGTTCCATTTGCTGTACTTTCCTCTTTTATATGTTTTTGGGAGGAGGTTTCCATCTTGCCTTCCTATTCTGTCATCTTTAATCCTATCCCATACCGATTATTCTAAACATAGTTTCTTTGATTTAACTAACAAGGAGCTTTCTTAGATGCTCCAAAAACTATTATTGTGCTACATTACAATCGGAAGCTTGAAAGCCTGTTAATCTTTGTTTTCTCAGCAATGTGTTGGGGGGTCTGGGGTCTCAGTCCTCTGCCTCCCATACTGTTTCTTCTAACTCAGCATGGCCCAGTGGGGTCTCCTCCAGGCTAGTAAGAGTAGTTATCCTCTGATTCTTCCTTTAAGAGACCACCCTGGGACCCTGGGTAAACCAATGAGTCCTTTCAATTCCTTTTGCACCCCCACCCCCAAATGAGCAGAGAAACATTCCTTTGCATATTTGTTCTTCCACTTTTTTTATATGTATTTCTGTGAATTGACAGACTTTCTATGAATATTTCATGCTTATATAATATTTTATACTTTGTTTAGTAGTATAGTGATTCATGTGAATTCTAGAGTTAGACTGCTTAGGTATATATCTGAACACATTTGTATCTGAAGTCATCTCTATATCTATCTATCTGTAACAGATGTCTATATTTCATTATTTATATTAAAATTATGCTGCCAATGTTCCTAATTCTTAGTTCTTTGAGAAATCAACTAAACCTCTAAAGATTTTTAGTTTTGTTTTTCTTCTGGGTAATGGCCCTATAAATCCTCCCCAGCTCTATATCACAGAATGACCAATCTTTCAGCCTTGGCCTTGAATTTGTTTTTCAGCTGAGAATAGGAGATGGAGAAAACAAACGGAGGAGAAGCCACAGTGGAGATTGACACAGAGAAACTGGGGCTGGAGCTCATGGTAATTTACCAGTTTCATTTCTGTACAACTCTGTGGGCTATTGAATGGCCTAATATAGGGTCTTTGGCTGTTCTGAAACCTCATGACCCCTGGCAGGGCCCTGTGAGTGACCCTAACTCTATCTGTACCTACAGGAAGAAGACATATATTCTGAGGGAACCAGGACTGAAGAGCAAGGTCATAGCATTGAAGATGGGTTGGGGTCTTCCACTCAGCAGAGGTACAGGTGTTCTGGAATCTGTCTGGTTAGGACCTAGAAACTTAGGTTTTCTTAAGTGTAGCCAAGGGACTCAGAAGAGGTCAAACTTATCCCATTCTCCAGGAGCTGGTGGTTTTGTTGTGGAAATAAGCCTCACAGCCACCTGACATTAACATAATCACATATTATTTTATACAATTATTTTTATATAAACCTGTGCTATAAATAATGGGAGTTCAGCAATCATAAGTGTTGGTTGAACTGACAGCAAAAATAACAACGAGAATAAAAATGGCTAACATTTGTGAGTACTTACTATTATGCAGAATGCTTTAAGTAATTATTTAATTTTCATAGCAACAGGTAGGTACTAATTTTAATCTCTTTTTTTCAATTACAAAACTGAGGTTTAGAAATGAACTTGCCCATATCATTAAAAAAAAATCTGTTCCAGAATGCTGAGATTTGGGGATGGGGAGAAACAGAAATCAGTTTTAAAAAGAGAGAGAGAGAGAGAGAAGTGAAAAAGCACACTCTTGGAAGTCAAAAGAGAAGGAAGTGTCAAGAAAAAAGGCATAGCCCAAGTCCACAACATTATGTGTAGCAAAGGTTAAGGAAGGAGGAGGAGAAAAAGCTTTGCACTTGATCATAGATATGGTCCCAGAAGTAATGTCTAAGAAAGTTGTTTGGGTAAAATAGTCAGATGGAAGCAATGCTCCATGGTATAAAAAAGGTCTAGGTATTTATAAAAAAGGACAGAAGTCATACATTGAAAAGCTTGGAAGAGGATCTTGGATAGTTTCTAATGTAAATATATGGATATGATCCAGAGCAGTTCCTAAACAAAAAGTTATTTTTGTTTGTTTTTCTTTGATTTTTAAGAATTAACTTAGGGACTTCATAGAGAAAACAAGCTTAAAAATTTTAATTCTATTTTCTTCTTTAGAAATTCACTTCTATATATAAACTGATATATATATCAGTGTGGACATTATTACTTTGCATATTTATTTTTCCACTTCTTTTATGTATCACATTTCTGTGAATCAACAGATTTTTTTTTGGTAAATTTTTCATGCTTTCATAATATTTCATACTTTGTTTAGTAGTCCAGTGGTTCATGTGAATTCTAGAGTAAGGCTACTTTGGTCTATATCTGAACTCTACCAATTGGTAGGTAGGTAAATGTTTAAGAATTGGCTCTCCAAAAATAATTTTGCCATTAATGTTGGTTCATATTTTTGCTTAGCTTAACGAGTAAGATCCAGAGTTGGCAAACTTTTTCTTTAAAGGACCAAAGAGTAAATATTTTAGGCTCAGTGGGCCATGTCCATTTGTTTAGTATAACTATTCAACTCTACCATTTTAATAGGAAAGGAAATACAGATGATACTTAACAAATGGGCATGGCTGTGTTCCAATAAATCTTTATTTATTAAAAACAAGGTGAGACAGGCTTGGCCAGTGGACCATAGTTTGCTGATCCTTGGTCTAGACAAAATAAATTAAGCTTGGAATTGTGGTATTTGCCTGTAGTACAAATACTTTCAACACAGCTGATTTCAAGCTACCAATGGGATGTCACTGAAAGAGGAATCACAGGAGATTTACATTACTGCAACTTTATATAAGATTTCTACCATACACATAAAACAGATAAAACCTCAAAGGCTTAGATAACAGTAAACTGTAGCAAGCTAAGAAGGAAGTGATGAGCTTTGAGTATTTATTACCCTTGTTTTTAATGTAATTTATATAATTTGATTTTTAATAATGGCTTGCACAACACAACTCCTGAAAATTTAATAATCAACTCTCCTCAGCTGGTACAATCTGGTTTCCTGTGCACTACTGACTCTACTACCACTTACCAGATATTGGGCAAGTTCCTCTCTAAGTCTTAGTTTTTGTCTTCTACAATAAAGATAATGTTAGTACTTAGTGAAAGAACCTTAATATATTTTGTCACATTGTTGTTGGCACTGTTAACTGCTCTAATATGTAATTGTGTCTAGTTCCCTTAAGTCTCATCAACTTTATATTTTCTCACAAGAAAAAATTTAAGATATATGGATATAAAATCATGTTTTAATGTTATAACTTGCATTCCTTTAAGTTCTAGTTGAATTCTACATATTTTTCCCATTTGGTTTGCTTTCTGTATTTCTGTGTGTGATTTGCTTTTCTTCTTTATCAACTACAGTAGAACCTGGATTTTGAACTTTGTTTCCTTTCTGCTGAATTACTCAAATAGCATCCGTATAGATTTCTTGTTTCCAGGGCTCCCCACCCACTGCCAATCATTCCCCTATAGATTTTATCAAAACAGTCTAAAGAATGAATCTGAACTCCTTTGCTCAAAAGTCTTTATGGCTTTGCATTGGTTCCTGAACAGAATCCAACTCTGCAACCTGGCATTTATATATCCCGCACACATCCTCCAACATGATTTGTGCCTAAATGGACTTCCCAACACTAACTCTTCTCGTTCCCTTTCTGATGCTCCCCTATGCCTTTAGTAAGAGTCAATAATAACTGTTCCTTGTACGATGTAACCCTTCATTTCCTGCCTCTGTGTCATACTTTCCATCATTCCTTTTGAGTGAAATGTCTTTTCATTTTACGACGTTTTTCTATGGCCCAACTCAAGAACAATCATCATGTCCATGATACCATTTCCAATGCTCCTCCTCCTCAACCTTACTGGCTCCAGACCTATAAGGCCTCTTTTTCCAAACTTCTATGACATTGTATTTGATCCTCTCTTATAGCACTTAAAACTTTGTGTTACACACTTATATGCATATTGTATCCCCTATACAGGACTATAAATACATGGAGGGCAGGATCTGTGTCTATTTCATCCATTGATCTCCTATAGCACCTGATAGAATGTGTTACCCATAGTATATATACTAAAAAATTCCATAATATTAAAATTTTAATAGATATACATGTTAATAAATTATGTAATCTAGACAATAGACTTCATTATTCTTTCATATATACATAAAAATTATGATTGTCACTGTATTGCTTTTTAAATATGCTATTTGCTTTTTGCTCTTTTGCTTGATTAACTGTGATCTGGGATTCTTTGGAGGTTGCAATATGAAGTGTAGCTCTAAGCTGATGCTTTTCTATACTGATATCCAGTTTCCCAACAATAACAATCAAGTTGTGAGTCCCTTCTTCATTCTGATGTTGCATCAGGTTTGGCATTCATTAAGTTAATGAGTCTGTTATTTCACTGACACAGTTCTGTGCATTCAACATAATATCATAATTGTTGATAACTTATTTTAAAATTTGATGGACCAAGTATTTGTGTTCATTTTCCCTCTAATAATATTCCTTGGCATTCTTCTTGGATTAGTCTTCAAATAAATTATCTTACAAAATGTCAAATTCTAAAAGTACTCCTGTGGGAAATCACTAATTCAAAAGGATATATGCACTCTTATGTTTATTGCAGCATTATTTTCAATAGCCAAAATATGGAGGCAACCTACATGTCCATTGATAGATGAATGGATAGAGTGTGCAGTATATACGTATGATGGAATACTACTCAGCCATAAAAAGAATGAAACATTCCCTTTGTGATAACACAGATGAACCTAAAGGATATTATACTAAGTAAAATAAGTCAGACAGAGAAAGATAAATACCATATTATATCACTTATCTAAGAAACAAAACAAGTGAAAAAACCAACAAAACAGAAATAGACTCATAGACACAGAGAATGGGTGGTTGCCATGGGGAAGGAGTGAGAGGATGGGTGAAATAGGTGAAGGGGGAAGAGAATTAGTAAGAATGTTTAATATCTTGGTCTGGTTGATGGTTACATGCATGTATACACATGTCAAAATTAATCAAGTTGTAAACTAAGATTTGTCCATTTTACTGTATGTACCTCAATAAAGTAACTAAATACAAACAAATTAATAAAGACTCTTCACTTTTTAAGAAAATAAAAATAAAGTATTCCTTAGGGGAGTGAAATTGTTATGATATTGTAAGTATTCTTTAATTTGCAGAGTATTGTCACCTTTAATCTTTTTGGTTTTCATAATTGGAACAATGGTGTAACTCCATTTATGCATGTTCTTTTATATCTGCCATTAGAATTAACAATTTAGTCAATAAATTTCTTCATCCAAAATTATATCATTTTTCATTGGTTCTGAGATGCATTTTTTTTTCACATTTTAACATCAGTAATTGGGATATGTCTTGAAATTGATTGCATGTCATAGTTTAATTGTCCCCATTTTGGCCTTTTAATGTAATTTTTAATGAAGTGTTGCATACATACAGAAAACTGACATATTAAGTGTGCCCCTCAGTAAATTTTTATAAAGTGAATACACTCATGTGACCATCACCCAGATTACAAACCATAACATTTCCAGTATCCAGGAACCATTTCACATCCCTTTACAGTCAAAACATCCCTAAGGATCATCACTATCCTGACTTTTACTATCATAGATTAATTTTTGCCCATTTTGGACTTTCTATATTAAGTCCAATTTGCACTTTGAATGGAAATAAAGTCCCTTTATATTTTTCATGGAAATATCCATATATACTATACACAAACACACACACACACATATATATATATAAATATACCATATATACATGTTTTGTGTTTGGCTTCTTTTACTCAACATCATGTTTAGGAGATTCTTCCATATTGTTGCGTGTATTATAGTCTGTAATTCTTAATTGCTGTATAGCATTTCATTGTAAGAACTGATCACACTTTACTTGTCCATTTTACAGTGGTTGGGAGTTTGAGTGGTGTCCACTTTTTAGCTATTATGAATAGTGCTGCTATGACCATTCTCGCATTCTTGTATATGTCTTTAGGTAAACATGTACACCTCTCTATTGGGTACAAATCTTGGAATGGAATTGCTATGCCCTAGGATATGCATAGGTTTATGTAGTTTTAAAAGATGTTAATATAATGGTACCAATTTTCATTCCCATAGCAGTGTCAGAAAAAT